GAAAGTGAAATGACTAGATTACCCTTACTCAATGGTCAAATGTACACATTTGAACATGAAATGTACACTTATTTATAGTATTGTCATCGCATGTTTGACTGATATCTACTGAAGTTTGACTTGATCACGATCGTTGACCTGTTGGATCCAAGTACAAAATTATTATTATTTCTTTCATTATGCCTCATTCTCATACGATCCTCTCAATCTCTCTCTCTCTCTCTCTCTATATATATATATATATATATATGTATATATATCTATATGTAAATAAATAGACAAGATAACTATAAAAGGTGAATTAAATATTGAGGTTCTCAAAATCGAACCGGTTATCGAATCGGTGAAGCAACCGGTTAAATGGTTCACTGGTTGGATCGGTAGCCGGTTTAGTTAATATAAATTTTTTATTTATTTTGTTATTATAATATGTAATTTTATATATTTTTATCACTAATTTTTTAGTGTACAATGATACTTTCTAAATAAATACAATATAAATAAAGAATCATGCATATTCTAATTATTTTGACTATTATGCCTTATTCCAAGTGTAGGCTTATATCCAATATCCATTAAAATATTTTTGATGGCAAAAAATAATTCAGCTATTTGTGAACAAAACAATTTAGTTATTTGTGAAGGCCCAAAACAATTCAGCTAACAAATAATTGGAGGTAAGGCCCTATAAGGGCCCAAAATAATCCTTTATTGTGATTTGGGCCCAGACAGTAACTCATAAAAAGGCAATACTCCACAAGTTGAGATTCCCACATTGGTGACATAAACAACAACATTGCAACTATTTAAATGATTGAGCAATCTATCCTCTGGAAAGCTTACTACAGAGCCGCTGGGCCGCATAAACCGCACCGGTTTGACGGTTTAAACAGTTTTTAACCGGTTTTGAACTCCAACGGTTTCATATCTCGAACCGAACTGGTGTATTGGTTGGTTCACGGTTAAACCGGTCGGTCCGGTTTTGAGAACATTGTTAAATACAACTTCAACCCGACACAAGAAAAAATAATGGCAGAAACCAAAAACAAAAAAGAACAGGGTCACTGGAGTTTATGGCAATGTGAATCCCAAACACGTTAGAGAAACCATTCTTCATAAAGTTGCAAGACCCAAATAGATATTGACAAGGAACTCACAGTAGGTTTAGATAATCTCATCCAGGGCACTCTTACTATTCAGTAACCTGCAGACTATATAGCATATGCACAAGACCTAAAAATACTAATATAATAAAATAAGAAAAATACTTAATCTCTCAAATCCAAGATATGAAAGAATGCAATTATAAACTAACGAATAGAAAAATCAACTTAAAAAAGGCAAAGATCAACATTTCATTGCTGAACTCATGGACCTAGGCAGCACAAACCCAGCCCTCTTCTCTTCAAATGAGTACTCAAACTCGTCCTCAACAGTGTTTGTTGTAGTAAAAGTAGTTTCTACGGCTGCCAAAACTGGAGTCGGGGTTAATGTGGTCTGCATGGGAATAGATGCTGTTGAGGGTGTCGGGTATAAAGCGACTCCCTTTGTATTAGGAGTTCTGTTTTCACGTCCAACATTATGAGTAATCTGTTGAGGAGGAGTGTAAGCAAGCGGCTTCTGCACTTTCTCTTTGTTTTTCATGTGCAGATCCTTGGGTATAGTCTTTGTGTTGGACTTTGAAGATGAGCTAGTGGCAGATATAGGATTGAAGGGCTTTCGCAAATTTGGTTCACGGGCGTATACTGCATTTGGTGAATGCTTAAAAGGAAGACGGGTCATGTTAGAAATTCTCCTACCTGCACAAATCAAGAAATTGAAAGCGTAACACCAATAATAGTGGACGTGTGGGATTTGAGTCACTTTATTTTTTTCATTAAAAGGAGACTGCACAAATTACTGGAGAATCTTCATTCTTCATTTTCTTTTTGTTATTCAGTTATTTTCTGTAGACAAACAATCCTGCTAGAACTAAGTTATCATTGCTACTTGCATCACTTTTCGTTGGTTCATCCCAAAGAAGTGGCAGTGTGACATTTGTTGATAACAAGTCATGTTTAGTTTATCTGAAGGAGATTGCGTAGAGGGAATTCTCAAATTACAAGCACAGTGGGAAAAGAAGGAAAAGAATACCAGAAGATGAAGTGGCCAATCCGTCATCCTTGAGATGACCCATATTCACGTGCATGTTTGTTTTTGCCTTCAGTGTATTTGGAGTAGCTTTTGCAGAAGAATTATATGTTGTATCACGCTTAGGAGTCTGTAGCATGGGTGCACCGGTTGAGAGTTTTCTTTTGGTTGCACCACCACATGATGAAAATCGAGCTTCTTTTTTCACACTACGGATCTTCTTGGGACTTGGCTTGGCACCATAAAGAGCTTCTTGCTCTGCTAGTAACTGTCCTTGAAGCTTCTTTTGGTCCTGCATCATCATAACACACAGAAAGATAAAAAGATTTCAGAGTGGGAGAATGAAGAGGGATTCATAAATTCATAATCAAACTTATGGTTAACTCCCAAAATACCCTTGAGGCGCACGTGCACAAACACACTACTTAAAAAAATAGGAAGCAAATATCTTCCAGAGTTACAAATACCCTTTAATATTGTGTTTTGAAAGAACAAAATGTGGGAGTAATGGTGTAATACCTTAGGGGAGTTGTTTGAAACATCGAAAGATAACGGCAACTTACGCAATTTATGAGTTTTATAATGTAAACATGTGATTACAAATCGGATAAGTGCACGTACCCTCTGCCTTTTCCGCTCTATTTCTTTTTCTTCCCGCATAAGCATATAAGCTTCAAGCATAGAAAGAAGACGTACCTAGACAAAGCCAAGAAATTTTGTTAATTCATTCGAGGCAAAAAGGACATCATAAAAAACGTGTCAAACTCATTTGGGTTTGACTTACGCCATTGTAGTTAAACTCTCGTCCTTCCTCGTTTTCCCAAGATATGACTTTTAAAGCCAATGCATCCACCATTGCTGTTCAAAGTATAGTAAGAAAAAAAAAGTAAAGAAATAAATAAAAAGAGCATTGTCGAATATCAAAATAGGTGTCTTTAACCTTTTAACTGCTGTAATAACAAGACCAACCACAAGTCATTTATACCTGGAAGTTTACTGACCAATGCACGAGCTTTTTCAGCCCGTTTTAGGGCAACATGAGCCCCTCTTCCAGCATTATAACGATTATCATCCTACAGGCAGAGAAATTTTTCCTTTAGCGAGAGCAGAAATTGACTATGAAACAAATATTTAACATGTTTCGCTAAGGTGATGTTTCGGCAATGACCCTGTTATACTCGTCAAGCCAGCTCTCCTCATCACATGCTGCCACCCACTTCTCGACTTTTTCAAGGATCTCTTTCCTGCTTATAACATCCTCTTTAACTCTTACTATTTGAAGCTCAATTTGCTCGAGTACACACATAGCATCAACATCACCTATAAAACAAATTAAAAAGTATGGAATATGAGAACATAGAGGCCAATGTTAATGTAAAGATGCTGCTTTTTCAACTTGAAATAAAAA